CGCCTGCAAGACCAGTCTCTACCTGCAGTGAGTCTGGGATCGCTGCAGGCAGGGGCTGCTTTGCAGCTGCCTCCCCCCAACCCTCTGCACTGCTGTCTCTGTCAGAGGGGCAGGTGGCACCATGGAGCCAGTGCTGGGGGGCAACCGGCTTTTAAGCCGGCTTGCTACCCGTGTCTGTCCATCCTCCCCTTTCCTCCCTCTGCTTCTGATACAGGGGCAACAAGGGCGGGGGGAAATGCAAGTAGTCAACTAGTTAACCGATGAGCCTAGGCTTCTCAGTTAATCGACTAGTCAACTACTTGTTCACATTCCTACTCGCATGACAGTCTTTATAGATAAATACTGTGACAAGTGTGTTAGATGTAATGAGTTTATCAGACTTGCTAGGAGTTGCTGTTACAAAACATTGAATTCTTTCCTAGTTGGCATTGAGTGGTTCTTAGTCAGAACCTCAAAGAGGAAAACTCAGGTCCTTTTCTACAGTTAAAGGCAATAATAATTAATAATAATAAATTGTTGTTATTGTTATTATCTTTCTGTGGATGGAATGGGAGGTCAGTTTCTTAACACAGTGCTCTGAGACTTGCAGAGCCTTTCAGTATTTGTTTCCGTGAGCAAGAAATGAGGAAATGCCAGTATTTTGGTAATTTAAGCTACTCTGCAGTTTATGTTGGTGTTCTGTATGTTGGTTGAAGTAAGAATAAACCAGCCTCCTAAATAATTTGTTTTTTAATATTGAACCTTTTGACACGAACACAGTGGTTCCCAACCTTTTTGATAGCGGGACTGGCAAACCCATTCACAAACTTTTGTCTGATCTGTAACATTGTATTTGCACATTTGCGTATTCTTTATTCAAATGATGATGAATATGCAAATATGCAAATAAAATGTTACCGGTCCACTAAAAGCCCAGTCCCCAGAGACCCCAGTACCAGCCCTAATCCCTAGAGCCTCCCACTCCTCCACTACCCCCGCTGCCAGCCACTGACCCCAGTGTCCTCCAGTGCCACCTCCCCATCTGAAAACACCTCTGTACCAGCCTCCTGCACCTTAGAGCCCCCAACCACCAGACCCCCCAGTAGCAGCCTCCTGTTTCCAGAGGCCCACTGCAGTCAACCCCCCTGAGCCTTCCCCAGTGCCAGCCCCCAATGTTAGCCCTGTCTCCAGAACCCTGCTATGTCAGCCCTGCCCTTATAGCCACTCCCCACTACTAGCTCAACCTCCAGAGCCCCCCAGAACTAGTCCTGCCCCTGGAGCCCTCAAAGACTGCCCTCACCTCATTGCTGCTTGCAGGGCGACGGCTCAGCGCCTCTCCTCCTGCTGTGGCTATTGGGAGAGGTGTCTTCTGTCCTACCTCCCAACCCTCCAACACTGGGCAGGGGTAGGGTCTCCTCCCAGCAGCAGAAGAGCAGTTCACTGCTCAGCGGGAGGGCCATGCAGGGTCTCCTTTCAGCCATGGAAGAGCATTTCTCTGCATGGCAGGAAGATCCCTTCCACCACTC